GAGTAGTATGTATTATGTTGAATGTAGGCATATTGTATATTGTTTACATGTAATGTGTGTTGTGTATTGTATGTGGTATGCCTTGTGTTGTATCAGTTTTATGCACACATACTCCTTTGTGCAAGCAGGTACTTGCACCCCAATCAATGTTCAGCAGAGCCAACAACAAAGGCTCTAAGAGCTCTGTCCAGGATATGTCATGTTCAAGAGTAACTAAGAGTAACTAATTTGAAATGGGTGCAACACTCATTCAGAAGAGAGACACAGACACACAGACACACAGATACACACACACAAAAAAAAAATCAGCCAAGGATATACTGTCTAATCTATGGTGACATTCCAAAAGTATAAATACCAACCTCTTTACCAATATGTAAAGACAAACATGAAGACAAACATCATGTATTGTTTTCCCTACCACAAATTATCATTAACTCCAGCAAAAGTATTTATCAAAAAGTTTCTCTGACAAGTTTCCTGAAAGTAAAGGTAAAAAAACCCAGAGCATTTTCACAACAGGTAACTTACTGCTAGCTGCTCTATTTGCCGTCGAAGGTGTGATGTTCGAAGCCCTGCCTGTGAGGTTTAGCGTTGATGCCCCAATCTTGGACCGAGCCAGGCTGGTCTTGGATCCGTTGCGTTCCCTGAGACCACTCACAGGCAAGCTGGCCATTGACACAGACCTGTTAAAGTAATGCAGGCAACATGAATATTTAGGTGGAAGAAATGTAAGATATGCAAATGACTTTCCACCACTGCACCTCCTTCAGAATTGTGTGAAGATGTAATGTGGAAACAAATGTTACATTGTGCAATTGCTGACCCTCAATCATACCAAACCTGTCACAATGGACTGTTCATCTTTCTCATGAGATCTGATAAGAGGTATACATAGAAAAGAATTTTTCATTTTGAATTGGATACTAAGAACTGCCTGTAATTACACACAAATGAAAAAGAGTTGGCATACCTTCTCAACTTCCCTGCAGGAGCTGTAGGCTGGCGAGTCAGGCCACGACGCGCTGGGGGTGGCATGTCGGGAACTGAATCCTCTGAATCTACAAATAGAAAAAATATAACCAAGTAATAATAATAATCTACAGCCGTTACATACATCATAAAGAGAGAGATAAGACAGATGGATACAGACAAATATAGTCAGTTCATATTTTCACAAGACAACTACAGAACTACAGAATAATGATTATCTAACGGATATCAAGGTAGTCAGAGAAAAAGAAATATCAACAAGAAATAAAACAAACTTTTAAAAAATAAGAAAACAAGCTTACAGAAACCCATGCATCTGTCATTACCTGTCGAGCCCACAGAAGAAGCGCTGAGTCTGGTCTTCTTCTCAGGTGAGCCCGGCAGCTCTCCACTACTGGCCTGCCTCTTCATGGCCGAGCCTGGCGTTCGCAGGCGCGAGGGCTGCGGCAACTTAATGCGGCTGGAGGGGGTTGGTAGTTTTGACATCCTGCCACTTCTGTTGATAAGATCAATCATAATTCCATGAGTATTTTTTTTGCACATTTTATTTTATATCATGCAAAAACGTGGAACTGATATACAGGATATGCAGATGTATTTTCTCATTTCTTGTCTATCATTTTTCAAACTAAAATGTTTTAATGCCGTATTTAATTGTCTTCGTATATAAATTAAAAAAAGGGTAGGTTAGATACTGCTGGCAGGTAAATGAAACCCCAATAAGGTTACTGGTAAACACATACATATCACTATTTCACAATAAAGTATTTAATTTTTGTTGTCCCAAAAATGAAAAATAAAAACCATGTTTTAAGGCATTCATCACTCCCGCAAAGGTCAGCAACATATGATTTGGCAAGTTTAAATTCAAACCAGTTCCTGATTTGACACTATACTGACAGGGAAGTCTACAAACAACGACACAATGGTCATGCTCATATTAATTCACACTGAATTTATTTAAAGTCTCCTGTCCATCAGCCTTCTACCTTTGTAGGCTACAAAATACATAATTTTCTAATTTCAATCTGAAGAAAGAGTATTACAGAAGCAAAGGTTGTCAGGACTTAATAAGCTACAACTCCAGTTATAGTTTCAGTTTTACACAGCCATTTGGTACAAGGGAAATTTCGCCTGTAATGGACAGAAAGAAAATAAGACACTTCATCAGCAGTGCTTCCTTCACAAGATGGTGATAAAAGAACTACACTCTCTGATACACACAATTTGCACAGGCAAAGAATGGTGTCACAAATATTTAAGATATGCTGCGAGAGATGCTGCATTGAAAGACAGTTTACGGTGATTGCATAGGGTCACTTATATTATTCAAATTGGAATTAATTTTTTGAAGTATTTCTTGCAAGGTGAAAACAATGCAGCAGGAAGCTTTTTTTTTTTTTCAAATATAAAAGTTGTTAGGATTTAATAATCAACAACTACACACACTGTTTAACATATGCTACTTAATACCCAAAACATTTATACATTTTATACAGTGGCAATT